TTTCTGATGGAATGTGGAGATTCCATCGTTCCTTTGTGTGATGTTTGCAAATGCCTTACAGGAGTAAGGAAAGGATTTGTCTTTGGTTTCTCTTTCTTTTGAGGCTAGGTAAGTTATGTCCACAAACCCTCAGTAAGTGTATCTTTTGTTTGTTATTTTGGCCGTTTCCCCTCCTGAAGTCTTATGTTTGTAGCCCACTGATTATCTAAAATAAAACCCGCTGTATCTTTTTACTTCGAAACCTGGTGGTGTTTTAATTTGTGGCTGTCCTGGGGACGGGAGTTCTCTCACTCTCTCCTCGCAACGTTTGTTACCATCCTTTTAGACCAAAAAGGGGGATCGTAACTAGGCCTGGGAGATAAAACGGTATCGATATTTATCGACGGTACACCTTCTTCGATAACGAACGAAAAATGTTCGACATAGCGCATGATATAGGCACGTGCTATTAGTGACACAGACCGCACACACAAACACGAACACATGCTGAATTGAGTGCTGTGCCTGCCTGTGATGTGGAGATTGTGAATAAAAAAATGAATATTAGTTGATTTTAAAATAAACATTTGCATTTGAATGCAAAAATAGTACAATCAAATGTTAGGTGTGCATCAGGGAGCGTCATCAGTGGAGCACGAGATGCGGTGATGCATCATGCAAAAGTTTCCTTTAGTTTAATCTGCATATAAAACATTAGAAATTAGATATTTGTTTAATTTTTATTTTGTGTTTGACTGTTAAAACAAAAAAATATTTGTTGTTTGTCTCAATAAATTGGGTTAATTTAAAAATACAGTGGTTAAATTTAAAAATTTTTCTATTGCTCTTTGTTTTAAAAAAGGTTATAAAAAATGTCAATAATTATCGATACCGAACGATATGAAACATTATATCATTGATACATTTTTTAGCTATATCGCCCAGCCTTAATAGTAACAATAACTAACTCTCACTTCATGGAAGTCTATACAGTGAAACATTATAAACGGAATCTAGTGTGAAGAGCAGATCGTGTGACAGTACCTCCATGAGCAAGTCGAGCAGCATGGCTCTCATTTTGGGCCGCAGTGACGGATGTCTGTCTAAACTGCTCTTGCTGTGTTCGTACTTTATCTCTTTACTCAGCATTTTCATCCAGACGTCCTCTGAACTGCCCCAACTTCCCCAAAACAAAACAGAACAGAAATACAGACTTCAGACAATGTATCAGTAAAAAAACAGGATACAGAAAAATATACAACTGTACATCAACCTGAAGTTCAGTGGCATCAAGATGATGGTGACTCTTGCCACTTAATGCTAATAACTGCTGCTGGACTGACATGGCATCTTACGCACAGAAGCCGTTTGTTTTTGTTTATCTTGTCAGGTCAACTAACTTATACTTTGGGCTATAAGCTACTTATAAACTAACTTACACTGACACCTACAGTACAGACATGCATGCCGCATTACTCAAAAATAAAGTTTTACAGTTATGGATGCTACTGTTATGGCACTGTATTTGTAGTGACCCAAGATAAATGTAATGTTTCTTAGCACGGGCCGTTTGCATAATCAACAACATATAATTATACTGTTGCATTATACGTATAAAGATTTAGTTCCGCGTGCCACTCAAAAACATTTTTGACAAACATATAAATTACAAACATTATAAATATATTTAATTGACATTTGTGACCCTGGACCACAAAACCAGTCTTAAGTCGCTGGGGTATATTTGTAGCAATTGCCAAAAAAGACATTGTATGGGTTAAAATGATCGATTTTTCTTTTATGCCAAAAATCATTAGGATATTAAGTAAAGATAATGTTCCAGGAAGATATTTTGTAAATTTCCTACCGTAAATATATCAAAACTTAATTTTTGCTTAGTAATATGCATTGCTAAGAACTTAATTTGGGCAACTTTAAAGGCGATTTTCTCAGTGTTTTGATTTTTTTGCACCCTCAGATTCCAGATTTTCAAATAGTTGTATCTCAACCAAATATTGTCCTATCCTAACAAACCATACATCAATGGAAAGCTCATTTATTCAGCTTCAGATGATGTATAAATCTCAATTTCGAGAAGTGGACCCTTATGACTGTTTTTTTGGTCCAGGGTCACATTTTTCTAAAAGTATGACTACATTTAGGGTATTTAGGTTCGTCCTTTTTTCTACAGTGTAAAATAAGTTAGTACACAAAACTATTCCTTATGTCCTACTTAATTTCCTAATGAAATTTCAAGCATTTCTTTTTTAATCTCAGATACTAAAATCTTTCATGTTGTGTCTCAATTACGTCAGTATAGCTGCTGACTCTACTACTACTACTAGAGGCACAAACTTTTGCGTCACACAAGTTTCAGTGGCACATGCACTGAAAATCAGATGCGCCACTAAAGTAGCGGCATGTGCCGATGGCTTCTATGCGTAAGATGCCATTGCACTTCACTTTAATACTGCCTCTCTGTCAGTTTGTTGTTGTTCTGTAATGAATGTCACATAATGTGGTCACAATGTAATTTCACTACAGGAAGCTCAGTAAAAAAACAGGATACAGAAAAATATACAACTGTACATCAACCTGAAGTTCAGTGGCATCAAGATGATGGTGACTCTTGCCACTTAATGCTAATAACTGCTGCTGGACTGACATGGCATCTTACGCACAGAAGCCGTTTGTTTTTGTTTATCTTGTCAGGTCAACTAACTTATACTTTGGGCTATAAGCTACTTATAAACTAACTTACACTGACACCTACAGTACAGACATGCATGCCGCATTACTCAAAAATAAACAGTTATGGATGCTACTGTTATGGCACTGTATTTGTAGTGACCCAAGATAAATGTAATGTTTCTTAGCACGGGCCGTTTGCATAATCAACAACATATAATTATACTGTTGCATTATACGTATAAAGATTTAGTTCCGCGTGCCACTCAAAAACATTTTTGACAAACATATAAATTACAAACATTATAAATATATTTAATTGACATTTGTGACCCTGGACCACAAAACCAGTCTTAAGTCGCTGGGGTATATTTGTAGCAATTGCCAAAAAAGACATTGTATGGGTTAAAATGATCGATTTTTCTTTTATGCCAAAAATCATTAGGATATTAAGTAAAGATAATGTTCCAGGAAGATATTTTGTAAATTTCCTACCGTAAATATATCAAAACTTAATTTTTGCTTAGTAATATGCATTGCTAAGAACTTAATTTGGGCAACTTTAAAGGCGATTTTCTCAGTGTTTTGATTTTTTTGCACCCTCAGATTCCAGATTTTCAAATAGTTGTATCTCAACCAAATATTGTCCTATCCTAACAAACCATACATCAATGGAAAGCTCATTTATTCAGCTTCAGATGATGTATAAATCTCAATTTCGAGAAGTGGACCCTTATGACTGTTTTTTTGGTCCAGGGTCACATTTTTCTAAAAGTATGACTACATTTAGGGTATTTAGGTTCGTCCTTTTTTCTACAGTGTAAAATAAGTTAGTACACAAAACTATTCCTTATGTCCTACTTAATTTCCTAATGAAATTTCAAGCATTTCTTTTTTAATCTCAGATACTAAAATCTTTCATGTTGTGTCTCAATTACGTCAGTATAGCTGCTGACTCTACTACTACTACTAGAGGCACAAACTTTTGCGTCACACAAGTTTCAGTGGCACATGCACTGAAAATCAGATGCGCCACTAAAATAGCGGCATGTGCCGATGGCTTCTATGCGTAAGATGCCATTGCACTTCACTTTAATACTGCCTCTCTGTCAGTTTGTTGTTGTTCTGTAATGAATGTCACATAATGTTGTCACAATGTAATTTCACTACAGGAACACACCTGAGTGTTGGGAGTGGAGATGGCTGTGCATCTGGAGTTTGATCAGACGAGTCAGACACAACTTCATTCACGTTGTTCAGACCATTCTGCCTCCATACATTCTGAACAGACAACACATTTACATAAATATCAACATATAAAGATGAAACATGGACTTTTTGCTACCTGTTAATTTGTGCTTAAGTGGCAAACTGTACCGCAGTAATTTAGATTTCAAGCCATTTGTGTGCTATAGACTTTGCTGTGCTAATTAGAAAGGCGTCGACAGCTGTATTCACTCAAGAGCGTGAAGCTGTGTATTTAAGTGGTCTTAATAAGCCACTGTATATGTACTTTGTTTATGTGAAATACCTGAGAGTCATTCATCTTTTTTATTGATTTTCTCCTCTTGTTGCACTGCAAAACAATACAAAACAAAAAATCATACATTACAGCTGATATATGTACATGCACAAACAGTACCGCATACACACTGACCAAATACAAACTAATCATACCTCTTTCTTTACTCTTGCTATCTTACGTGTGTTTCCATTGACAGATCTCGCTTGCTGGCATCCACTAATAGACACAGGGAGAGAAGAAAGTTGCTCAGGTTATGTTATGCTATCAAATGTTCCAACAAGCATGGAAAACCCTGAAATCACCAGAATTTTGGGAAGTAGCCAATGGTCATAATAGCTTAATAAACATACACAATAATATCGTAATGAAAATTATGATATGAATGGTTTGTGTTAGGGTTAGGTTCACGTCTTGGGTATAGAAAGTATTATGATCTCAGTATAAAGACAATAAAAGGCAATGGAAGTCTTCACCAAACACAACTTTAATTACACTGAAATCACAGTAATAACACTGTTCTTACCTTCTTCTGGCCATGACCTTCGGCATGCAAGTAAGATGTAATTTCTTGTGAATGTTGCCTTCTTCAGCAGCAGTTGGCCTATCATGCAAATATTACAGTATTTAAGAGGCATTATTAAACAGCAAATAGTGTTTGACAATAAAAAATAAGTTGCATTACGCTCAGGTCGAATATAGTCACTTTACTGATAACCATACCAATTTAATCGCAGTTGTGTGATTCAGCTGCATTTTATCTAACTTATCAATACCGTCGCGCGCCAAATTACTCTCTGGCTATAACTTACTGGACGCGCGAATTAAGTAAACATTTAATGAATTATAAATGCATGACACATAAGTTTATCATTCTGAATGGCAAAGCCATGTTCATATTTATGTGAGGTTATTTCCCATTTCAATACGGTCCCTCCACAACTTTAGCTTGTTAGCATTGCCCATTGGTAACTTATATGCAATGAGACGTAATTTAGCTAAATACCATGTAAAGCTAACAACAAATCAATACATTCAGGTGGTGTAATTAATTATGTTAGAACTGAACAAAGATGAAGCGCAATTCTAAATGCAATTATATAAATAAAAAAATAAGTTCTAAAGTTGGTACATTCGACAGCTGCTGCACAACCACAAAATAAATGTATTATATAAATGCATTAAATAAAAATAACAAGTGCGTAAAATGACATTGCACTTCTTACCGGAGCAAGTTGGTTGTGACTCTCGCGCCGGCGCCAAGTAGTTGTTGAGCGGCTTGTGGGTGCGCATGCGCTTCGTGCGTGTGATCCCCGCGCACTTATGTGCTCTGGTTTTCCCGTTTGATTACTTTTGTTATTTTAGGTCGTTTGTCACAAGAACAAGACACTTGTTTGCGCATTTTTAGCTGTAATTAAATATCTATGAATATTTAGTTTCAATATTTGAAACATCCATTCGAAAGAAAAGTTTAGACTTTCGATTTCTAGCCACTGGTTTTTATCACTCGGACTGAGACAAATGAAGACAATATGCATTTATTATTCTTTGAACGTACTTTAAACCATCATTTTTGTTTACGTTTCTTTCATCTTCTTCTTCTTCTTCTTTTTGTTCAATGGCCGTTCACTCCATCACTTTGATTTCTCTTTCTTCAACCTCATTATCAGCTTCAATTCTCGTATGTCTTACTTTATTAATTGTTTGCTCACAATCAGATCCATCACCCATGCTACTCTTTTTGTTCCTTTTACTGTATCTTACTTCCTGAAAATCCATGTCTTGATCATTGTCGCCATCCGAAGTATCTCCCCACGCCAACGACGCCATTCAACCCGGGTCTACCCACAATGCTCCGCGAGCAGCCCTATCCCAGCAACCTTTCTTTCATATTAGGCTTTCCTTTACACTTTGTAGTGTGCATTTCCTGGATGTGGAGCTCAAACACGGACTGGCCAATGGGAGAGAGCGCGTGTGCTGCCACGTGCGCTGCATGAGAATGTAAACATGAGTAAACTTGAGTTTTATTTTCTAAGAAGTTAAAGTTTTATACACTCTCGCATCCAGGCCAGTTACACAAAGCTATTAAGTTATTAATAATTGTGAGGGAAACATTTGCGGACGATTATGAAAATTCATGTTGTCCTGAGCACATACACTCTTATTTTGTTTAAAATAAGTATACTAACAGAACACTTGAAAAAAAAAATAAAAACCTTTTTGTAATGGTTTATATGGAATGTGTGGTTTCAGGAAAAAACAACAACATGCAGACTACAAGATGTTTCACTTCCTCTCTGTGACGCAGAGAGTGAAGCACAGCAGTACTGAACTGAACACAACCTTCATCCAGCTCATGAAGAATGGAGACCTTAAAGATCATAACCATCATCCAAACTATTGCTTTAATACAAGGTATCTATCTATCTATCTATCTATCTATCTATCTCATTAAAACCTTTTAGTATTGTTTCAAACTGAAAACCTTCAAACTTCAAGCTTTTAAAACTACTTCAAACTTTCAGTCTAGGCTTTTTCAAGCCAACTTAAAGTTTGTCTACAAGCTTTTTTTTATGTAGTTGTTGATTTGGTACTCTAAAATTTGTTATTAATATCACAGTTGAAAATTATTATTCTGCTTAATGATCTGTGAAAAACGACAGTGGCTCCGTGAGGATATTTTGATGAATGGAAAGTTTAAACAGCATTTATCTGAAATAGAATCTTTTGTAAAAATGTAAAATGTCTTTATTGTCATTTTATATTAATGTAATGTGTCCTTGCTAAATAAAAAAAAATAATTAAATAATCAAATAATGTTTCAAATAAATAAAACTTGTTTAAGATCTATGGGTGATAGGGCTTTCTCTTCATTAGCTCCAAAACGATGGAAGTCTCTGAACTCTTAGGGTTTTTAAATCTTAAAACTTACCTTTTTAGGGTAGCTTTTATTAGATTATTTTGTGATTGTTTTATGGTTTAATTATTTCTTAATTTGTTTTGATAGCATGCTTTATTTGTATTGTGTATTTGAATGCACTTTTTGATGAATGCATTTCTTTTATATGCTTGTATTTCTCTTTTATTTTATCTTCTTCTTGTAAACCACTTTGAGATGTAACTTTTAAAGGTCCTATAGAAAATAATGTTTGTTATTATTATTATAAAATCATGGACATGCAGGGTTTTAGAAATACCAATGTCTAATAACTAAGTTTTCTTGGGGGGTTTCCGGCCCCCTGAAAAAAAAAAAAAAAAAAAAGATTTCCTTGATCTACATATGTCACGGGTTGCCAGGCGAAGGAGCTTGAAGGAGTACGAAGGAGGCAGATATCAAATAAAGAGAGTCTTTTAATAAATCCACTTGGGAAAAACTAGGAGAAAACAACCTTTTTACATGACGGAGACAGGACAAAGAAACTGAGGAAAGGCAGGGCTATTTATACAAAACCAAACGATGGACTAATAAGATGATTAATTCAACACAGGTGGAAACTAATGAATGATGATTAACTAAATGAGAACAGGTACTGAACCCAAATAAGGGCAGACAGGAACTAAACAGAAACAAACACGTGACAGATATCGCCCCCCTCCCGGAAGGGTAACATCGGGTAGTGGGGGCATGCGGATCAGGGAGCTCAGGGGACTACGGCGGATCAGGCAGTTCAGGTTGCCATGGCGGATCAGGAGACTTATGAGGCCACGGCGGATCAGGGGACTCAGGAGGCCACGGCGGATCAGGGAGCTCAGGGGACCACGGCGGATCAGGGGACTCAGGAGGCCA